TTTTTTCTCCTCCAAATGATTCTGAGTTTTGTTCCACATTGTTCTCTCTGTCTATCCAGGATCTCCTACATCCCTTCCAAGTGGATTACAGTGGTAGCCGGGCACCATCTAGTTCTTCTGGGCTCATAGTTGTATGTTGTTGTTGTTGTTATGTGCCGTCGAGTCAGCCCCGACTCACAGCGACCCCTCCTTGGGTTTCCGAGGCAGTATCACTATGGAAGTAGGATTGCCCAACATACATGACCTATATATAGTTGTATAGGTCATGTATTATTTTTATGATAAGGAAAATATTTAACTGTGGTTTACAGAAGGTGACATTTCGAAAGGCCCAAGAACACGCTGTCCAGACTGCCCGCTTGCCAATCCAGGAATACATGGTCAGACGCCAGAATGGGAGAAACTACCATTCAGAGATCCTGACCATCAATCAAGGTACTCTCGCACGGCCCGTGCCTGACAGGTGTTAGTGCTGGTGCTGCGTCTGCGTTGTGTTTAATGATAAGTGGCCATCGACTCTCGCCCCTGTGACTAACGTGCGTGGGCTTTACTGCACGCACCTTGTGACATTTATTCTGGCCACTCAGAGGCATTCTTCACCTGGTTTCCAACTCTGTTAAAGACAGCTGAAATTGCCCCCTTAGTTAGAACGCCCTTCGTTCAGTCCCTGGGAAGACATCTCGGCTGGCTCCCTTCCCCTGCCCAGGCCAGGGCAGCATCCCCTCTGTGTCCCAGCCGAATGCATGTTCCTTCCCGTGGCAGCAACATCCACGCGCCAGCCTGTCTCGGTGCAGGCTGAGGTCCTGATGGCAGGCAGAGCCCATGTCCGTGTTTGCCTCTGTCTCCCCAGGACCAGTGCCGTGCGTGGTGCGGGGTAGCTTTGTGGGATGGAATACTCCAGAACACTGTTATCCTCATTGGTCATTTGCTAGGTCGCCCTTCCTTCTTGGGGTCACTTTGTTTTCTGTTTACTCCCTAACAGTATTTGATATCCTGTCCACTTACTTTGAGACTCACAACTGGCCAGAAGCACTGAAGAAAGGGGTATGCTCCAGAAAAGGCTATGCTCTTCCGAATCCAGGGGCGTGACAGGGAGCCAAGTGCTGGAAGTGGAGGGATAAACGGCTGTGGTGCAGGGAAGGCCCTGGTGGTCTAGCCGGCACCTCCTGCCTGCCTGGGACCAGCCTGCTGCACTGCCTCCCTCTGGTAACACTTCTTTGGATCGTGTGTTGTAGAAGCAGCAGCATGTTGTGACATGTGCTTGGAGAAACCTGGGTCCAGAGCCCAGCTACAGCACCTCACGAGCTTTGGGACAGGGAGGCTCCAGCCTGTTTTTTCGCCCTAGCCTCACTCTGTCTACATGAGAAATGGGAATCATACTTCCTTGTCAGAGTTTGGGAATGAGTGGTGTGTGGTGTCCTCAGCACATGCTTGCCGTTACTCGTGTGCTCAAGGGTGGACACTTGGTACACAAGACGTTCATATTGGATTGATTTTATTTTCTGTTCTGCCCTTTCCCGGCTGTCTAAGAAATCCAGAGAGTAAGATCAGGCCTGTGGTAGCACCTGGCTTCTGTCCTTTCTACACAAGCAAACCAGAGGCAACTGGAATTTTCATCTCCCCCCTGGTTTCTGTGTTGATCTTTGCTGACATCCACTCGACACTTACTCTGTCCCAAAGACTAAGTATTTCATATCATTTTACTGTCCCAGCAACCCAATGAGAAAGATGCTGTTGTTATCCTGTTTCCTGACAAAATAAGGTTCAGAAAGACCAAGAAACTTGATTAGGGTTACTCACTAATAAGTGGTAGAGCTTGGATTTTGAACTTAGGCAGTCTGATTCCTGCATCCCTGCTCGGCCACACTACAGGGCTCAAGTAAAATACCCAGGCCAGGCTCACCCACAGTAAGGATGGGTCATAGGCTCTAGTGGGAGGCTTGTTGAAGGCGAAAACTCCTGCCTTTCCCTGCCTCCTTTCAGTAGGTCTGAAGCAGAGCCCAGGATCCCAGTGGTTTAACGCTTGGCTGCTAACCAAAAGGTTGTGGTTTGTACCCACTACCTGCTCTGCAGGAGGAAAGTGAGGCAGTTTATGCTGCCATAGAGATAGCACCTTGGAAACCCTCTGGGGCGGTTCTGTGTCCTTCAGAGTTACTGAGTTGGAACCAGCTTGATGGCCACAGGTGGGGTCCGGAAATGCGTGTTTGGTATTTGCCCCAGTGATTTCGATCCAGGTGCCCTGGGGACCGCATCTCGAGAGACCCCGCTGTACCTGTTTGGATCCAGGCTGCTCCTTCCTCGGCCTGCTTTCCTTCCTTCTGTGGCTACAGTGTGAGTGACTTTCCACATAGCTCATCACTGGAGTCTTGCTCCATCTGGTTGTTAGACCTGACAGTGTGAATGGCCCTCATTAAGAGAAGCTAGAGGGACCTGGAGAGCCTTCTGAGACTGTGGTCTGAGGGCCCCTCAAGGGCAGGTTCGACATTACCCCAGTGAATGATTTGGGATGCCCTCGGGAGAAACCATGTTCTGTCTTGGTGTTCTCTTCTGAACATGTAACTTATAAGAAGCCATTCTGTCCTCTGTAACTCAGGTAGAGAGAAGTAGCCACAGCCATGGCTCCTATTTAATATCAAACCCTTAAATGAAAACAGCCTGTTAGTGAAGGTTATGCTAGAGCAGGAATGGTAAGTAGGTTTTGTTAACCCCCCATCTTCAACTGATAACTGAATAGTAAACTGTTTGAGGCCTCACTCAGCTCCTAATACCAGTTCCCACTCACCCGTTCATATGCCATACGTTCATATGCCAGCAGTGTTACAGGGACTTTGACCTTACTGCCACGTGAGAGCCTGAGAGCCCTTGCCTTAGTGGGGAGCGTGGCTTGTATGTAATGCACAGTTGTCTCCAGTCCACGCCTTCCTTGTCTCCAGCTGTGTTGAATCCCTGTGTACATCAAGTGCCCGACCCTGGATGGCTGCCTCAGTTGACCCCTTTTTCTCACTGTGCCTTGTTGCCTCTTCTTCCTGAGGTCACCCAGAACTCCGTTTGTCAGGAGACCAGAGGTCAGGGCTTCCCACTCTGCCGGCCTCCTGAGGCTCTGGGCCGGCGTAGCATCTCAGGCCACAGCTGGGGTCACTTCAGCCTCTTCTTCCTGGTAGTTCCTGGTGTTCCTAGAACACTGGTTTATTTGTAATTCCAACTCTACCTTATTCTGCTTAAGTAGATAGTAATGATTATCGACATTCTGTGTATGTAAACAGTGCATTTGTACACACACAGTACATACACACACCAGAGAGAACAGACCATGTAAGCTATCTCTTGGCTTCGTTTCAGGTGCTACCTTTAGTCAATAATGGCTGACAAGTGTCAGGGTTCATTGGGAAAAGGTGCTGTGACCACCGAGCAGGGTAGCAGTGGCAGGTGCCGCACACCTGCCTTCAACTGACATTTCACATCTGCCGTAGGATCCTAAGCTACTTATGACAGGGACCACGTGTTATGTTCCTTTCTTTCTCTGTTGTGCCTGCCTCACAGGAAGTGCCCAGATATGTTTGGACTAGTAAGTTTACATAACAGGGAATTAGCCCTAAAACTACATGGCTTTAGATGTGTTAATTTATCTTTCGTACATTTATCTACTTGTGAAAGACCTGCTCTTTAAAGAAGGCTTAAGTAATTGTCAGGAGCTCTGGTAGCATAGTGCCTAAGGTACTTGACTGCTAACCAGAAGGCTGGAGGTTCAAACCCTTGGAAGGAAGGTTGGGCAATCTACTTCTGAAGTGATACTGCCTAGGAAACCCAAGGAGGGGTCGCTGTGAGTTAGGGCTGACTCGACAGCACATAACTAACAACAAGTAATTGTCATACCACCAATTCAGTCTTCACTGAGCTGGCATGGCCTCGCGTGACTCCAGCCTCCTCTGACCATCTGGATCTTCTCCCCACTCACTCACGTGCTGTGCACACTTTGCAGGGTCAGCCTGCCTGATCTGGCCCTGCTTAGAGCTCCCACTGCATTATTCCTTCCTGTGGCTCTTCCCCTGTTCTCCCTGGTTCTGAGTGTAAGTGTGTGGGAGGTGGGGGGGCTTCTCTCCTTTCCCAGTGGTAGGATCCTACCTAAGAGGACAATTGATGAGCGTATCTTTGTATCCTTCTGAACCTTGTACAAACTGGAATCTTAGTTGAGTGATTAACAGATCAAACTGAAAACTAAAAGCAGTATTGGTAACATCCTGACTTCAAAACAGCCAGAAAATACATTGCATCTGGTATAGGAGCATGTTAGGCAACCTCATAGTACACAAATCTGACTCCTTCTCTTGGGTCTTAGTTATATTATAGTTCCGTATTACTCCTGCCAGTTGGGTTAGTAAACTCTATAATTGATGTGCTGGCAAATTCTGAAAATTTATTCTCTACCACAAAAGAACCAAAAGGTTACTCTGTCCTATCCCACCCTTCACAGTTTAATCCTTCAAGAGCTGTGATAACTCGATCAGTCATATCAGTGACTTTTGATTCATTTAAAAACAGGTCCAGTGGCAAATGAATACCGTGATTTATACAGAACAGAGCTTTAGGAATATGTAAAGCCCCCTGGTCTTTATCAACTTACTGAATGAGTTCTATAATGTCTGTTACCCCAAACGGACTTCTTACGGGTAGGCTTCCCAGGGGTCCACAATGCGCTCATATTCTGAGGGCTGTGAACCCAGAACCATGAACTGGGACCATCTACCAGTTGTCATCTCCACCCATAAAGGCTTTGCATAAGGTACCAAACAGCGTGAAAGACTCTTCTCCAACTCAATCACTAGTCTTCTCACCCTTTTTTTCCCAATATCTTGGCAAGTAGGTTTTTGTTTGGCTTCTAAAAAGTGATTTTAGCAAAATAAGCTTTGGCCAGTCATAGATTCAGAGATCCTCATCATTGTGATATTTATGTAACAACAAATGGGATACACCCAAAGTATCCTATGAAAATAAAATAACGTGCAACTACTCAATCTTTATGGCAAGCATTAAAGGAATGGATTGAATGTTGTATGAAGTAGACAAAACCAATTACAAAACAGTATGTACAAAACAGTATGTACAAAAAAGTATCAGAATCTAATTCCAACTTGAATAAACACATACACACGTATGATGGTTAAAAATATAGACAAATTAAACTCTCCTAGTTTCTTCAATTAGGAAGATGTCTTCCATAGGGTTACTAGGTGAGTAAGTTAACCCAAACTAAGTACCTGGAACAACGCTTAGCACACAAATTGTTAGCTGTTAAATACTTAGAAATAACGATACGGGAGGTTTTCATTTGCTTTTTGATACTTGTCAGTAATATCCTAAAGGTTCTTTGGTGAACATGTTTATCATAATCAGAAAAGTACTTTAATGCTGATTTCCAGTTTATGATCAAAACTACTCTAGCGCAAAACCAAGGGAGCTAACATCTAATAAACCATGGTATAACTTTTAAATAAATTTATTGTAAAGAATAAAGAGCATCATTATTTTATAATGATTTTCTCACTAATAACAGCATGTGTAACAACCAGTAGCTTTTTTATAAAAATATTTGTTTAAGAACTATTTTAGAATTGTAATGAGACATTATGTACAATCCTGTTGCCTTCTCAAGTTTTGCTGGGAGTGGTTCACCTGAATAAAGTTTTCCCCGGGAAATTCAGTCTTGCAGCTCAAATGACCCAGATAAAAGTCCCCATGTATCAGGTGTCTGCCAGTCTAGCGAAGATCTGTTTCCTTTGGTCTGTTGTCATGTGTTCACAAGCTTCCAAAATGTTTGCCAAAATTAAAGTCTGCTGAATTGTCTTTGCCTTAACCCATATTCTTCCGTTCATTCCAAATACTATCTCCAGTGGATAGAGCTTTCCAACTTCCTGGATAATTTCACAGTCTGGAGCTAGAAGCCTAGTGGGGAAGAGGAAGAAAATGAAATTTTAATGAAGTGGTAGGGTGTGCCCTGATTCTTCTTTAGAGGGCACTCCTTTTCTGGGCAGTTTGTCACAGCTACTCAGAGCCCCACCAGCATTACTCCAAGAACAGCAGCACAGAAGTCCCTTTGCTGTCCCTTCAAGAAGCTTTGCATTGGCTAGTAGACAGAGGTCACGATGCTGGACTCTCCCCTACAAGAATCAAGCTTCCTGTGTCATCCATCAACTCTGCAAAAAAATACAGTTCTTCCCCTAAACTGTCAGCATTCTAATTCTAGATGTTTATTAGCTATAATGCTGAAAACACTTCAGACTTACTTCCTGGCTATGCAAGTTACACCTTGGTATTAGATTCAGTCTTGAAAGAGCAGCACTGTCCCTTTTAAATCAAGGATGCTGCTTAGTTAAAAGTGTGCTTCTCCAGTGTCCCAAATCTGCAAAACACGTAGCAAGCAGAGGCACACACAGGCCTGAACTGCAGTGCTCTAGCAGTACTGCTTCTGAATATGGCACAGCTTTGGGTAGGCAGAGGTCTCCGTACCTCCAAGAATCTGCCTTAGTGGGAACTCCTAATCTGCCAGGAGAGAATGGTAGGAGTCTCTGAGTAGTCGCACGAGGTGCAGGCTCATGTCAGCCTACTTGCATTCGACCCCTTATGAGAGATTGCGTGATTCTGTTCAATTCTAAGCTGCATCTGTATTCAAATGATTTCAGAGGGCTGGAGGGGAGGGCCAGTTTTCACATTTGGGCTGTGACTATCAGCTTATGGCACAGCAGGCCTTCTGGGAGACAGGACACAAGGGTAGAGGAAGAAGTTGAGGCAGCCCAGACCCCACCCCTACACCAGAAACTGCACAGCTAAAGGCCATCTGAATTTGATGTATTCATGTCAGTGTATTCAGACTAAGGGGGGTGGGACGAAATTCACGACTTCACAATCTGCTCAAGTAGACACTGATTTCTAACTTTGAGGAGAAAATTCAGGTTTGCTACTAAGAATCTAAATCCCCAGGACTAGCCAGCTTTTCAAGATAGAGTTGTAAAGGAGGTGGGCAAGCCAGCAGGCATCAGGACTTACTTTCTAATTAAGCCCAAAGTCACTTTAAAAAGCAAACCATCTTGTCCGATCACACCCATTCCATTAGCTCGTCCACAGCTGTCAATACAGACCATCTCTGGTTCCATATCTTTATTAGCAACCACAAATTGGCCATAGATGAGATCTCCAACCTACAACAATAATAACAAACTGTTCATTAGTCACAGGAAACCACTCTACAGGTAATGAATGCGGTGGCTCTTTCTCAGAGGCAGCAATGCCAGCCACCAGCAGTTCTGTGGCTAAGAGACTGACTGCACTGCAGGAGCCACGTGCAGCTTCTCCTTTACTCATGGGAATCCCCGAGATGGGCGCCCTCGCCAGGCCACAGAGCACACTCCAGGATTGCAGTGTTCATGGTACCCACTAGCTACCTGCGGCTATTTACTTACATTTAAATTAACATTAAATAAATTTAAGTTTAATTAATTACAATTAAGGCACTCTCGTGGTGCAGTGGTTAAGGCATTTGGTGGCTAACCACAAGGTCAGTGGTTCAAACCCACCAGTAGCTCCATGGAAGAAAGAGGAGGCAGTCTGCTTCTGTAAAGATTGGAAACCCTGTGGGGTCGCTATGAGTTGGAATTAACTCAGTGGCAATGAGTGAGTTCATTAAAATGAAATGAGTTTATGTGTTCTTAATTAAAACTTAATTCAGTTCCTCAGTTGCATTAGCCACACTGAAGATCTTAATAAACACATGTGGCTAGTGGCTACAAACTGGTCAGTGCAGACAAGAACAGCAGCTGCATCACAGGCAGTCCTATGAGATAGCAGCTCCTAGGGGGTTCCTGAAGACGTATGGCTAGAGGCAGGAAGGAACGGGCACGCAAATTATCCAAGCAAAATAGCTGGAGCGCTGGCAAGGCACATTTCTCCACGGGAAGGTGACCTGAAAGTCTCACAGAGCTGAACCGCAAACGGCTGGATGGAGGGAATGGACTGAACTTGTTTACTCGCCAAAACAGACTGAGAACCACAGTGGAACAAAACACTTGCTGCCCTTCAGAAGTGTCTGGTCTTGGGGCACTGTGGGGATGTACGGAAGAACAAAAACTGCACTCAAGGCTGAATCCAGTAAGCGCTAGAACAAAGTGACAGTGATTCAAGACTGAGGACAGCTTTACAGAGGTGGTGGTGTCTGGCCTGGGTTTCAAAGAATGATCATGTGTTCCACAGACCGAGAAAAGGATCCGGCATAAGCAAAGGTACAACAACAGGGAAAGCATGAGTGTCAGGAAGTGATGGGTTTAGTGGTGCTGTTAAAATAGTTTGGTGTGGCTCAAGCACGGCTTTATTAAGGATTTAACGATGGATGAGGCAAGATCCCTGGAGTGTCATGCCAAGGAATTCTTTAGGCTTTGAAGAACCATTTAGGTTTTGAAAAAGAGTATGTGAAGTGTCAGCCTGGATGGAGGGACAAGAGTGTGGAGACAGGGATGTTAATGAGGCCACTGACCAAGTCCAGTCAAGGGGTAGCAAGGCCTGAACGTGCACAGTAGAGGTAAAAGGATGGACGTGAAGATCAGAGAATCAACGAACTAAGCAACCGAAAACACTCAGGAGGTGAGTTTGAATGAGCAAAGAAACCACTCATCTTCTGGTTTGGGTGGACAGAGAAGAGCATAGCTACAGGGCCTACGGTGGCTGGCTGATATGGCAATTTGTGCCACTTGTCCATCCTCCCTCTCAGAGCCTATGGCTGACTTCCTTGGCCAGTGCCCATGATACTGGAGATAACTCCACAGAGATGTAACACCCCAAGAACCAATGCTGTCAGCAGAAACACATACGTGGTCTAGGCCAGGAGCTGAAGCACCTGACTCTTGGAGCCTGGGTGACTGCACAGATGTTGAGAGATCACCCTGTAGAACTAGGAAAAGGGGTCCTGCTTTGGAAACAAGTCAGTAGCCTTCTGGGTATTTTTGTGTTCTAGGTAATGAAGTTTTCTCATACTTTTGAAACCAAAGGCCCCTATCATTACCTGTACGTTTGGTCTGTTTCTTTTAGTTGCACCTTCAAATGCCAAGTAAGACAAAGAAGCTGGCTCGCTTCCTCCAACATCAACTTTGAATATATCTCCAGATTTAGCTGTCACAATGCCAATCACATGGTCTCCTTTCACTGGGACATACTACAAAAGAGAGAACAACGATTCAACACCATGACTTCCAGGAAGTCTTCAGTGGATACATTATGTTTGTCATTAAAAAGATGTTTAGGCAAAAGACAGGCATAGGAGTTGAACATGTACCTGATGTAGATACATTCCTTGGCGAGAACAATCATGGGAGAAAGAAGGGCTGTTTATGCACAGGGAGACAGCTCAGGGGCAGGGGTACATGGAGGAATGGACACAGGGAAGAGGTAACTATGGTGAGGAAGTGGGAGGGGAGCTGTTACATTGTGGGAAATTGTGGTCAATATCATGAGACATATTGATTGGGAGCTCTGGTAGCATAGTGGCTAAGGCACTTGACTGCTAACCAGAAGGCTGGCGGTTCAAACCCACCAGCCACTCCTCGGAAGGACGGTTGGGCAATCCTACTTCCGTAGTGATACTGCCTCGGAAACCCAAGGAGGGGTCGCTATGAGTCAGGGCCGACTCGACGGCAAATAACGACAACAACAACATCATGAGACAAAGTGTATGTGAACTGCTGTATGGAAAGTGAATTTGCTCTGTAAACTTTAACCCAAATCTCACACACACACACACACACACACACAAATGTTTAGGGGATATTTTGAAATTCAAGTTACTTATACAAACTTTACAACAAACTTCATCGTACGCTACTTTCAGTGCATGAAAACCCATCACATCTTTATCTCTTGGCTGGCCGCTTGTAATGGTCTGTTTCATTGGAGCCAGGACGCCACATCTGAATAACCTCTTCAGCGTCCTTCCCAGAAAGCCTCTGACTTCTGCTGGTACAAGCGTCCAGGAGCACTGGGTTCCTTACAACCAAGGAGGTCCATTCCACGTTAGACAGCTCTGCCTAGAAGAAAGTTCTTCTAAAAGAGCTTGACCTCCTGTGACACCCACTCATCTAGCCTGGTTCTGTCCTCTGGGGCCTCGAAGAACAAGTCCGTCGCTCCCCGACCTTTGGGGTTTTGAAAACAGTGATCATGTGTGTCACGATCTTAGCCTCTCATCACATGGTAAGGTTTCCTTTCACACGTCCCCTTCTGGTCGCCCTGCTCAGGCCCCGTTCCCGTTGGTCACGGCCCCTCGAAGGAGCGAGATGCAGAGGTGGGCACAATCCCACGGTGTCGCTGCTCCAGGGCCCCCTCCGGGCCTCTTCCGGGAAGTCCCCCCAGACTAGGGAAACCACCCTGACACCTCACCGGCCCTCCGGAGCCCCGGCTCACCCGCTTCTGCTGCGAGTCCACCCAGTACACGCCGCCGCCGCCGCCGCTGGGCTCCTTGTGACGCAGGCGGCCGCACTTGGTGACCAGGAGACGGTCCCCGCAGCGCCGCAAGCCGGGGCCGCACACTACGCGCACCCGGGAACGCACGCCGGGACTCAGGCGCAGCGGCCGCCCACCAGCACCGCCAGGACCTTCGGCGTCTTCCTGCTCCGGCAACAGCAGCTCCTCACCCGGGAGCACCACCTGGCCCAGCACTGTGCGCGCCGCCCGGGCCTTCCCGCCAGCGAGGGACTCGGCGGCGAGTGTGGCTGCTTCAGCCATCGCGGGCGCCTCGATAGCCGGGCTCCGGCAGCAGCCCTTCCGCTTCCGTCTCTGCGTCCAATCGCCAGCCCGCCTGCGCTCTCCATTTCCGGCACTGCCGGTCGGTCAGACTGGTGCCTATGTCTGAAAATGCAAGTCGCCGTGGCCGGCGAATATCCCCGACGTGGCTGTGATTGGGTCTCCGGTCGGCCGCTCAGCCTGAGTAGATCGTGGAGCTTCCGCTTCCGGGTGTCGCGAGCTGCGTGTCTCGGGCCGGTCGCACCGTGGGATCTAAGATGGTCCTCTGTGTGGAACCCTGGGAGCGGAACAGAAGTACTTCCGGAGTTGGGCATCCAGCGGACTTGTAGTCCCTTCCTTCTCGACCCTGCCTTCAGAAGGGTGACTTTTTTACCAGGGAAAGGATTTTCAAACTAAAACCTGTTTGGTTGTTACGAAGAAGGCATTTATTCACATCGTGGAAAACACAGAAAAAATAAATAAATAAACATAACTTTTTGGTTTTTCCTGTTGGTCTCAAGCTACACTGTCGGCCCTAATTCTAATTGTTTGTAGCCCAGGGTCTGGCATGAAATAGTTAACGTGTTGAATGAATGAATGTTAACATTTTGGTCTGCAGTCTCGTTAGACTTCTTTTTCCACAAGTATACATACATTGCATGCACATTATCAGTTAACTGAGCTACCCCTACCAGGCTGGGAAAATCCTAACGGTAGTTAGTCCCCCTGCTACTTTCCCTGGAGCATGCGTTGGTTGCCCATGGGATAAGCAGCTGAATTGCAAGTCTGATAAGTCAAGGCTTCCGCTATTGAGACTTGGGACTGTTACTTGAAATCAGTTTTTTCTATCAACTGGCAGCTCCAATTAGTGTTTGGTCAGATTCTCCAGCAGCCATGAGTTGTTGTTGTTGTTGTTATGTGCCGTCGAGTCGGCCCCGACTCATAGTGACCCCTCCTTGGGTTTCCAAGGCAGTATCACTACGGAAGTAGGATTGCCCAACCTTCCTTCCGAGGAGTGGCTGGTGGGTTTGAACCGCCAGCCTTCTGGTTAGCAGTCAAGTGCTTTAGCCACTATGCTACCAGAGCTCCTAGGAAAAAGGAGGGCGTGGCCGATGGACTTCAGCTGCTGCTGTTTCTTCTGCACATTTACTTCCAAAGTGTGTCTCTAGAATGTTAAGATGTTTAAGACAGATCCTCTCTGACACACCACCTACATTCGGCGAGATGCTGAGGAGCCATTTTCCCCGGATGTCATGAAAGGCCGACTGAAACGTAATTTTTGTTTTAGAGTCCATTGTAACAACTGCTCTTGGTCAGTTTACCTGGCAGGAGTAGGAGCTCCTGGAGAAAAACGGTGTAGATGCTGCTTCTCTCCTCCCAACTCCAACCCGCCTACAGAGGGCCTAGAACGGTAGATATTCGACAACCAAGCGGGTCCCAACCCTGGCCGGCCCAAAGCCATTCCCGGAGGATGCTCAGCAACCTCAGGCTGAGGTCAGGCACAGAGGGAGGCCGGGAAATGTTCCCTGGACTGTTCCTCACATACCCCACGCCGGTAGTGGGGTGTCTGGAAGGAATCGGCACCAACCTCCCTGAGGATCGCCTTCAAGTCCGCTTCTTGGTGAGAGGCAGCTCTGGTGGCGTAGTACCTAACGCAATTGACTGTTAACCAGAAGCCTGGATGTTCAAACCCACTAGCCACTCCCTGGAAGGAAGATTAGGCAATCTACTTCCGGAGAGATACCGCCTCAGAAACGTAAGGAGGGGGTTGCTATGAGTCAGATTCGACTTGACAGCAGTGAGTTTGGGCTCTTTTTTTTTTTTTTTTTTTTATGGTTTGGTTCTTCGTGAGAGCACCACTCAGAGATCCTCCTAACTCATTCTCAAGTAAATAGATGAAGCAACTGAAGCCCTAACGAGTGTGCTCATCTATAGGCAGGAAGCCGGCAGAGGGGGGCGGGGCATCATCGCCTCCTGGGCGTCGCAGCGCAATACGCCCAGAAGGGGCGGGCCTAAAGGGGGCGTGACGCACGCGGGCGGACGACCTGGCCGCTACGCCGCAGACCGCCATGTTGGTGCTTAGCCGCCTTCGCGGCCTGTGGAAGCCGGTGAGTAAGAGCGCGTGGGCACAGGCTCCCCTTGATTCGAGGATCCGCTCGCGTGCGGGTGGGAAACTGAGACCACGAGTGAGTTTGTGCCTCCCAGTTCCAGCTCGCAGAGCTTGACTCTGGCGGCGTGCGGGCCCCTTCTTGGGGTACCTGGCGTCGCGGTTACAAAGTGCTCGTTTTATGACAACACGTACTTCTTTTATTGGTTGTAAAAGTGACCGTGACGATTGGGGAAATGCAGAGGAGTCATGAAGCTCCACGCTGGCGGAGTACGCTGAGGGCACGCTGTGCCCACGCTGCGCATGCGCACGTTGACAGGCCTGGTCGACCTGAGTGGACTAGGCCTCTTCTCTGCGGCGCTGTTGGTTCGCAGCCGCTGTAGTAGAGGCGACATCACCTCGAGTGCCTTCTGGCATATGTCGTCGCCCTTTTTCTTCCGCACTCTTTCCCAAAACTGCCTCATTTGAAAGCTTTGCTACTTTGAACCTCGGAAAAGCGGCTTCCCGTGGTTGCTTTTCTTTGTGGACTGGTGAGGTTGGGTGCTTTTTGTTTTGTTTTGTCTTTTTACTTTTCGATCAAGAACATCTCTGGGCCAGGAATTGAGCCGGGAAATCAGCTGAATCACGATTCCTGCCCTGGGCGAGTTCACTGTGTGCACGTGATGATACCAGTGAGTTATAGTGACTCCCACAAAAATCTGAGTAGGGTGTCAGCCGCGAAGGTACAGAGGATGAAATGGTTACCTCTCAGAGGAGTGATTGTTGAGTGAAAACTCCAGAAGTTTTTAGTATACTGGAAGCAGCAATCAAGAACTCAGACGAGGCCTTAACATTGGACAGATCTGCTGCAAAAAGACCTCTTTAAAGTGTTACAAGAGCAAAGATGTCACTTTGAAGACTAAACCGTGCCTGACCCAAGCCATGGTCTTTTCAATAGCCTCATATGCATTGGAGCACTCACAATCAGTGCCTAAGGAAGACCGCAGAACAATTGATGCATTTGAATTGTAGTATTGGCTAAGAAAGGAGCTCTGGTAGCTTAGTGCCTAAGGCACTTGGCTGCTAACCAGAAGGTTGTCGGTTCGAAATCACCAGCCACTCCTGGGAAGGTTGGGCAATCTTCCGTAGTGATACGGCCTGGGAAACCTAAGGAGGGGTCACTGTGAGTCGGGTCCGGCCTGATAGCATATAACAACAACATTGGCTAAGAATTGAATATATCATGGGCTGCTAGAAGAATCAACAAATTTGTTTTAAAGTATAGCCAGAATTCTTAGAAGCAAGAATGACCAGATTTTGCCTCTCATACTTTTGGTCGTGTTGTCAGAAGGGACAGATCCTTGGAGAAGGTGTTACGCTAGGTAAAGCACAGGATCAGAGAAGATGGGGAAGACCAGATTGTGGCTGTGCATGCGATGGGCTTTGCCACAACGGAGGAATCCAGGGCCAGGGCCCACTGCCTTTTATAACAAGCAGCAAGCACACCAGCTCTCCTCCTGCAAGTAGCAAGCAGTCTCATGTTGTGCTTGCTCTGACTTACTTAATTCCCTGTGTGACTTTATTTAGAAACTGCTCAGTCAGTATCAGAAGATGGTTAGGCCTTGAGGTTTGCACACTCAGAAAGGACCATCAAGGCCCATGGCAGATGGTCTCTCCCAATAGAAGTCAAGGCCTTTTACCATCTGGCTCTAGCTTGTCTCTGCTTTGTCATTGCTGAGTGCATTTTCTCCAGTTCTCTTCAATCGTCATTATGCTGGACTATTTACAAATACCACTTGTGCTTTGCCGTGTTAGTTGTTATCCTTTTAGCTACTGGCTCTTTTTCTTATCCTTTGCTACACTGCAAGCTGTTTGAGCACAGGGAACTCAATGCTTTTTGTACACACAATAGAGGCTTCAGGATATGAAAGATGAGTGAAAGAAGGAGCTTGAAATGATGAGAATTGCATTTAGAAGATGGCATGTGTGTCATGATGCTGCTAAGGGCCTCTTCTAGTCTCTATTCATTGCATGCCTTTTGTTTGCTGGGTCCAGACATAGATGGGTCTGTGGAAAAGTTTAAGG